ATTGCATGGTCCTATTTTTCTGAGACATTGTAGAAATTTGCAAGTTAGCAGCTAAGCTAGGTTTGAGGGGGAATGATAACTATATTGTCCAGGTCAGCTTGAGATTGTTAGAATAGGACATGGAGGTCACATGTTCTAGTTAGAATTGGTAGTAGAATCTGTTAGTTTGTTAAGTTGTGTTTACTTAATCTCTAAGACTGTTATCAGGTATATAAACTATAACTTTACATTGTAATCATCAATTAAGAAAGATCAATACACAATTCTGAGTATTTCTATGCTTTCTTCTTCAATCTTCTCTAAACTCCTCTATTGTTATCAGATATGTCCTTGATATTCGGGTAATTGATGATTATGTATGTTTCTGGAAGTATAGCTCAACTATCTTTATGTATTCTCTCATAGGGTGTTTGGGTGGTCATAATTTTTCTAACGAAGAGTTGGCCTTTATACTATTGCTGGTTCTGTTCAAGGAAGGTTCCATGCTGCACAATTCAATAATATTTCTTACTTGGGTATGCATATTGAGAGATTGAGTGACGACCTAGTCCTAGCAATGGTCTCTCTTTGACACTTCCTTACTCTTCCTGAAACCTAAAGTAAGTTACACACACACATACTCTTGCTCTCTCTCTCTCTCTCTATTGTCACAACACACAAAAGCTCAACTCATTTTACAATGTGGCGTTTCTCGAATGAGGAGCATATTGAAATAGTTCTATGGCAAGGAAGCTTTTTATGGTTCAAATTATTGTTTGTAAAGCATTTTATGACCCTCATGTGCATATCATCAAATGTAGGCAGGTAGTATGGTTCAGGGAATAACACTTCCTTTCTTTATTTTCAGACAAGTCCTTTTTTTTCGTATTTTTTCATATTTTTGTTGATTTTCTTACTGCCTTTTCAAGCATTGGAATGTAATAGGAAATCCCAAAACCTGAATTTTATTGATTTGCTTAAGGAGGTAACAATAGTAGGCCTGGGCACGGTTCGGGTCGGGTTGAATTTTGAGTGACCCGTGGGCCGAACCGAGTAAAATATCGGTTCTCGGGTTGGATCGGATCCAAATCAAAAGCCGAAAATGGGCCGAACCAGCTAACCCGATAGGCTCAGGTTCGGTTCAGGCTTTTTAAAAAAAAAAAAAAAAAAAAAAACAGTTGAGATGAAATCCGTAGTAAGTCCTGTAATTTGCAAAAGATTTTGTTGATGTTATAATATCAAAACTGTAGTCTGGATGGTGATGGATGTGGAGTCGAACTTTATTTATAGAACCCTAATCTTGTAACTTCTGCTTTCAATTCAATGTTTGGAACAGCTTAGAGCTATATTATGATATTATATATTGTCTTTTTTTTTTAGATTATTATAAATAAACCCAATTCTAGACATGTATTTATAAAAAAAAACCCAAAAACTATTTAAACATAGAAACACACCCAAAATCAACCCCAAAATTAACAATTGTATATTTTTTGGGTGTGTTTATAAATAGGTTTTGAGTATGTGTAATGATGGGTTTTGGGTGTGTTTATAAAGTGTTTTGGGTGTTAGGTTTTTTTATAATTTCAGCCCCCATTTTGGGTGTTTTAGTGAAACTCCCTTTTTTTTTTTTGGTTCAAAAAAAGTGCGTGATTTGCACATGACCCTTTATAAGGGTCGTTGGAAGGTTGAAATAACAACTCTTTTTTATAGGACAAGTTCAAAATACATGAACTTTATGAATGGAAAAATGAGTAAATTTCTAATTTGTAGTACATTACAATTTGGAGCGGATGTACGTTGGGACAAGAGAGGTCGACCCCTTGGGATGCCGGAATTTAGGCTATGGACTCCATGAGCGACTCCTTGGACAGCAGTAGAGCGATCCTTTGTGCTCGATGAAAGTCCCCTGTGGGCTTGCATTGCGCTGCGTGTGCAAGGTCCAATTTAAAATAATAATAAAAATGCCTGGCCAAACAACGTCGTTTGGTCCAGGGCTCATTCAATTTTTTTAAATTAACCTGGCCTCAAAACTATGTCGTTTTGAGCCATGCTTTTTTAAATAAAAAAAACAAAACAAAAGATCATCTTCCTCCCCTCCCATTTATCTGACTCCACAGCATGTTCGTGCACTTGCGAGTATCACAAGTTGAGGATGCAGCTTAATCCATTTTGGTGGAGCTAAATCTACGCAACAACACCGACCACCATTGCCTTGTGCTGCCACCATCTTTCTATTATTTTTAGTGTTATTTTCTTCGTAGGAAAAATTTCAACACTTTTACACTAAGACCCCTTGGCCCGAGAATCATGGATCTGCCACTGATTACAATTTGCAATGCAATTTATGCTTTAGGTGACATAAGTGTATAAGGTCATCTCCAACCAAGGGCTATAGGCTAGATTTAGCCCCCAAAAAGTGCAAAACCCATATCCAGTCATGGTTTAAAAAAAATTCAGGCCAAAGTTCGAGGGCCACATGTAGCCCCTTAGCCTTTCTCCTAGGCTACATGTGGCCCACCTTTTAGCCCAGGCTAAATTTTTTTTGTGGGCCCAACACATGTGCTACTCAACTAGAGGATGAATCAGTTGTGGGTGTGAGCAGGAGAGGACTTCATGAAACTGAAAACCAACATGCCGATTGATTACCGTTGAGATCCAAGAGCTCCAATTAAATGCGCTAATGTCAACACCTTAACTTTTTTATTTCTTTTTTAAGTTTGTGAATGTTTTAAACTCGGTTTTTTCTTTTAAAAAAACTATTATAAAAAACTTGTTTAGCAACATTTGGAAAGTCGAGCAACATTTTCAAACATAGCCGTTGGGCTTTTTTTTTAATTAAATCTTTTTTTCACTCATTTCATACATATTTTATCATATTCTCTACTTATCCATAACTTTCCACACTCATTTTTCTAAAGAACCTAAATAGTAGTTTAATTAATTTAAACAATACGTAGTAGTTGAATGTTTGAATGTTATACCATAATTTTTCCAAAATAATAAAATATTTAGGACCTTAAAATAAAACCGTGCATGGCTGGAGATGGAAAAATTTAGCTTTGCACTATTCTTTAAAATAATAATATTTTGGAAGACTAAATTATAGCCCTACATTTGGTCTATAGCCCATGACTTGAGATGACCTAATGTATTATCCCAAACAAAATAAGTTCTCACATACATGAAATTGAATTCAGATAATATATTTCTATCTATATTATTAGATTTTTTTTGGGGTCAGGATATATGTTTCTGATTCCTTTTCAATAATCAATTCTAGGATCCCGAGCCTCTACATTCAGGTCCAGTGCATTTACCCGCATTTCGTTAAATTTAGACCACTCAAACAATCTAACCTCTTAACACAAGACACATTATCAAACTTCAATTCAGGTTTTTTTTTTCTTTTGCCCAAACTCACGTTAACGTCTTAAGGAATTTTAAGGGGCTTCCTCCTCTCGCGATTGAGTTTCATACAACGTTTTTTTTTAACTCCTTTCTTCTTGGTTTGAGAGCGTTCTTTGTGGTTTCAATTGCTCCCATAACAAAGATTGATATAGATATGTGTCGAAATATATTATTAACATAGGTTTACCATTCACTTAGTCATTAGAGATTGATCTGTTGTGGGTTTCCAGCAATATACAACTTTGGAGACTCAAACTCTTATACAGGGGCAATCTTAGCAGCCATATATGAGGTTCTACCTCTAAATGATGAAAGCTTCTTTGGATATCATTTTGGCCGCTTTTCTTATGGTAATTTGGAAGTGAAGTTTGATTCAGAATTTTCTTTAATATAGACAATTGGAATTGCAGTTTTTATTCAAGACGACATGCTAAATTGGATGCTAGTAGAGCACTTCCACCTCTATGGGCAAGGGCAAGGCAAGGGCAGGGCAAGGTCTGTCACAATTCACATGAATAGTGGCAGCCTTTGCATATTTTGTTTCCACCTCTATGGGCAAAGGTAAGGGCAATTACTATTCACTTTAATTTGTTTTCTATTTTTTATACTTAAACGATTAATTTTGATAAGATTCTTGGTTGCCACGTGTCGATATTTATTATAAAATTCTAATCTCATATTTCAGATAAGATTTTCGGTTGCCACGTGTCCATATTTATTATAAAATTCTAATATCAGATTTCATATAAGATTTTCACCCTTTAAAATTGCATCACATGTCATCTCTATCTTCTAAATCCCTTTATAAAACTGCACCCTCAACTCAGACCACTCACACCATATCCTCTCTATCCTTTCATTTCTCAGATTTTACAAAACACATTCTACTCTCAATGTTTAACTTGAGAAGGGTGTTGGAGAGGCAACAGTGAGAAGATGAAGAAATCAGGAGCAAACGTGTTGGAGAAGATCGTGAGTTGGATGAAGATGAGGATGAAGTTTTTCAGCGGTGGGTATGCTCAATCAATCTAGGCAACACCACCATGTTCGTGTCCCAAACATGGATAGACATAGGCACTCTCGGGGTAAGAATTTCTTAGATGATTACTTTATCCCAAATTAGTTGTATTCTATTTCTGATTTTCAAGGGAGATATAGAATGCAGCCCCATTTGTTCAAAAAAAATCATGCATGATGTTTGCAATTACGAAACATACTTCGTTCAGAAGTACCTATTGGGGTTTTGGGTCTTTTTTAGGAGCAAAAACTTACAGCTGCTTTATGAATGCTTGCGTATCGGGCATCTGCAGACTAGGTGGATGAGATTGCTAGGATAGGGAAATCAACTATCCTAGAGTGCTTGGTCAGATTCTGTGTTGCAATAGAAACTCTCTACACGAGGGATTACATCCGCAAACCTACGCCTAGGGACCTCCAAAGGCATCTACAAAAAGTCGAGGCTCGAGGTTTCCCAGGCATGATTAGAAGTATCGACTGCATGCATTGATAGTGGAAGAATTGTCCAACTGCTTAGCAAGGAGATTATGGGAATAGAAATGGCCAAAAAAGTATAATTTTGGAGACTGTTGCATCATCCAATACCTGGGTTTGGCATGCATTTTTCGGAGTTGTCGGATCTCAAAACGACCTCAACGTGTTTGGTCAATCCCAGGTATTCAACGATGTGTTGAGAGGTCATTCCCCTCAGATCCCGTATCAAATCAACAATATTGTATACTCAAGTGGGTACTACCTTGCTGACGGAATTTATCCAAGGTGGACGACATTCATCAAAACAATTCCGAATCCCCAATTGGAAAAGGAAAAAAGCTTTGCTGCCTTTCAAGAGGGTTATATGAAAGATGTGGAAAGGTGTTTTGGTATCCTGCAAGCTCGTTGGGCAATTATTAGGGGTGTTGCTCATATGTTTGATGAAGAGGTGCTTCGGAGCATTATGATGACTTGCATCATTCTCCATAACATGATTTTTGAGGATGAGTATGATTATGATGCCCCTGAGATGTTCGAACCCGATCCCATGAACATGGCATTGACAATAATTTATGAACGGCCCGTGGGAGCAAATGGAAAACCACTGGAGCACGAACCGTTGATTAGGAACGATCGATACAACAACTATATGATTGATCGTTATATGGAAATGCAATCTTCTTATGTTCACGAAAGACGTCAAGTTGACTTGATCGAGCACTTATGGGCAATGAAACGCAATCACGGCGGATGAAGTCAAGTTTAATGCTTTTATTTGGAATTATGCTTTGTTTTTAATAATGGTTTGTTTTAAATTATGCTTTGTTTTGTGTGTGGTTTGTAATGAATTAAGGTTTGTTTTGATGTATGAAATGTTTTTAATAAATAGCTATATTTTTTTAATGCTTTCTTTATTCAATAAAAGAGAAACAACACAATAAATTAATATATGTGGCAACTCTTTGAATACAACCTAATGGTTTGGATCATTTAACCATTCTGTGTTGCTAGGTCCATCGTCATGGAAGAGCTTTCTTCTCATAACATCCCTTCGTTTTAGCTTCCAATGGAACTTTGTTTCAAGAGACATATGGCTCGTATCCATGGCCATGATTTTCATCTCTTTTTCCTCCATGTTTTGTTGCTGTGTCTGTTGCCTTTCTGTTGCATATGCTTCATATCATGCCTTGTCAACTTCATCTCTTTTCAAGTATCTCTCAATTCTCTTTGGGCCGTTGATAGTAATTTGCTCCAAAAAATTTGCACATTCAGTGTTCGAAGTGCTCCCTCTCTTGGCCTTTGCCACCTTTCTCCCAATAGGCCTCGGCTCATGTTGGATTGGTGAGTCTAGATCCATTGGAGAGTCCAATGGCGAATCCGATGCTTGTGAATTGTGGAGCAGCATCTCATTCAACACAACCGTCGGACCCATGGAAATAATTTTGAATCTCGAACAATTCTTCACAATGTGCCAACATTAGTGATTGATGAAATTTTTTTTTGCCTTGGCCAATGGCACCGAACCACATTTGTGCTTGAATAATCTATTTAAAATAAAATTGGAAATGCAAGAAAATTTTAAAAAATTTGACATTAAATTGAATAAAACGACATTTAGATATTTTTTACCTCGTCACCAAGATTTTCATTGCTTCAAACTTTCTCCCTCGCTTTTGCCAAAACATCTCTCTATTTTCCTAACTCTTTATTCAAAATTTTCCACCTACTAGCCAAGGCCATTTCCGTACGAGCCAAACCCTGATCTTTCACAAAATTCTCCATGAATTTTTTTCCACATATGAGAGGACTTCATCTTATTGCCCGTGATCGGGCAATGACCAACTTTGACCCAACACTCACACAACAAAATATTTTCCACGGTTGTCCACGAGCCTCCAACTTCGATGGAAGAGACCATTTGTATTTTTACACAAATGGAATTTAGTAGTAGAAATTTTGGTGTGGAAAATGAAAAATATTGGAAGGAGAAGAATTTGTATGAAGATTTGGTGTGGAAAGTGAATAATATTGGTAAGTATTTATAGAAAAAAATTCCAGAATTGGAGGAGATTTTCGAATCGGAGCCTCCAGGAGAAGCCACGTGGCTTGTAGCCGTTGGTTTTTGGCAACGATGACGCAACTCTGGTGTCAGTGCAAGGTTTTTAAATTTTTTTACCGTTGGCGCGTGGAATGCACGCACTAATGGTAAATTTTTTATAAAAAAACCTTGCGCTGACGCCAACGTTGCATCAACACTGATGTCACATGCTAAAGGCAATACGACGAACCAGATCTCATCGTGGCTTTGCCCGAGCTCGTGGGTCCCACCCCTTGCCCTAGCTAGGTCTTGCGCACTGGAGCTTCCTTCCGGGCCTAGGGCCTCCTCCTGCCTGGGCTAACCCCTTGCGATGGAAGTGCTCTTAGGAAGCAAGGCAATTGAAACCACAACGTTCAAACTAGGAAGAAAGAAAAGTATAAAAAGAAAAAGAAAAGAGAGCACACTGGATGAAACTTGATTGCAAGAGGAGGAGGAAGCCCATTAAAATCCCTCAACGACTTTAATGTGAGTTTTGGGGGAAAAAACTTGATTTAATGTTTGATGATGTGTCATGTGTTAAGTGGTTAGATTGTTTGAGTGGCTTAGATTTAACGAAATACGGGTAAATGCACGGGACCTAAATGCAGAGGCTCAAGATCCTCATTTCTATCTATAGAAGACTTTGCTTCTTCTTCTTCATATTTTTTTCTTGTTAAGGGTAGGCTTTTAAATAATGTTATATATGTTTGAGCAAAATTCCGCACGGGGAATATTCGTGCGTAGATTCGTTGACCCTCGAACTTCCTTCTCTTTCCTCTCCCTAAATCTATGTGAAAAAGACCGGAGTAAATAGACTACACCCGTGGGGTGTTGGCCGAAGGGCCTTCAATGCCTAAGTCAGTTTAGTGGATCTTGAGAAAGATAAGACAAAGTAACGGAACCTCTCCCTAAATCTATGTGAAAAAGACCGGAGTAAATAGACTACTCCCGTGGGGTGTTGGCTGAAGGGCCTTCAATGCCTAAGTCAGTTTAGTGGATCTTGAGAAATATAAGACAAAGTAACGGAAAGGACGGAGGTCTTCTCTCATGGGGAGACCCGATTTGCTAGAGCCATATGTGTTTTGGCCTGAGCCGTGTGAAGGAGAGAGAGTGGCATGAGGAGAGAGAGGTTTTTCGGCTAGGGTTTTAGGGTTCAAAAACCAATTACCTTGCTTGTATTGCGTAGCCATGTATATATAGTGCTCTTGCCTTCTATTTTCAAAGAATAATTCATATAAGGAAGGGAATTATTCTTTCCCTTAAATAGAGAGATTGGGTCAATTAGGGATTTTAATAAGAATGAAATCCCTAATTGATGATGACATCTCTATTTTTGGTCTAGATAATTGGCCAATTAAATGGAGCACAATTATTGACCTAAGAGATATTCTTGTTGTCCACGTGGCGCCTTATGATTGATTGCCGAAATATTTGTTCCCACAATATATATAAGGAATTTATTTGTATTATTAAGTATGTCCTTCTCTTTTCTCTGTTTTCGGTATCTTGACTGTGAGCAAAGCAGTTGCTGATTCCTTTTCAATAATCTATTATCTATAGGTTGGGGGTTAATAGTAGACTTTTGATTTTGGAATGTTCACCAACTTGCTTCAAGCTCACGTCAATTACAAAACATTCCACGAAAAGATTAGTAATCATAAAAATACAAAAATAAAAGATCAAGTAATGGAACACAACATTTTAAATTATTTTATTGAGAGCAAATAATTACATGCCAATAAGCTCATACCACATGTACGAAAAGTTGCTACTCATACTTAATTTCCCTACCAAAATAGGCACGAAAGATCAGCATCGCATCCCATCTTTATTAATGCAGAGAAGGATGACATAATGGTCTCCTAGCTAACAGAGGTCGATTCCTCTGCCATAATTGATAAGAGTGTGAGCTCCGCTTGGGCTCGCATGTGCTATAAATAAGCCCAACAAGGCCTATCAAACTCTTTAGGCCTCGCCATGCTAATAAGCCCAAACATGGGTTAAGAAGCCATATGGGTCTGAGATCAGTTCCACTTAGGCTTCACAAGGAAAGTCCAAAATGGACTAATCCTTGGGCAGTGTGCCTCCAAAAGGGCTCAACATTGATCTCCAAGATCTTCCTAGTTATTGCAGCAATAATCTAAGAGATCATGCCCACACATTTTGGGGAAGTATTTCACATGTCCTAAGTAAATGGCCAATTAATTGGACATGTGATCTAACGGCCAAGAGGGCCCCCAATTAAAGCCAAACATAGCCTCCTATGACGATAAGTTAGCCACCAATGAGCCATATAAGAACCCAACCTCAACCATAAGAAGGAGGCAACGTTCTACTGATCTGAAAACCCTAATTCTTGGTCTTGGAATTGCCTTTGGCATCAGAGGCTCTTTGGCTCACACTGCATCGGTGTGCTTAAAGACTCATGATTCTCTGCTTTTCTCTTGAATTTCAAGGGTAAAGAAGTCTTTTTTTTGGACCAACGAAATCATTCCCCACAATTTTCTAAGTGAGAGAGCCATGTTAAATTTAATCTCACCCATTGAAAGTGGGCTTTTTCAGGGAGACGTTTTCCAAACAAATCATAGAAGCACTTATGAGGAGGTCATTTTTGTTTTAAAGAGATAGAACCAAGTTCTAGACTTGATCATCTGTAAAGTGTTTTTACTTAGAATTTGTGTATATTTTATTTCAAAAATTATGTGAATCTCAATTAACTTTTTTTTAATCAACATATTTTAACCCACGGGGTTCCTTATTAATAAAAATAAAAATAAAAATAAAAATAAAAATAAAAATAAAAATAAAAATAAAAATAAAAATAAAAATAAAAATAAAAATTAAAAAAATAAAAAAGAAACCCCACAGGGTTTATATGTGCTTGTGTGACGGACTTGCTAGTATGCTCATCTCAGTTGGGGTTCGTCGCCCTAGCTCGAAATTTTTGGGTTAGGGATGGGCTAGGGCCAGCCTTTACGGGCTTTTTTAATTTTCCAAGCTGGGCCAAGGATTCAAATGGCTTGGCTCGGTCCTGGCCTAGACAAGCCTAAACGGGCCGGATTTTTAAATATTTATATTTATATATATTTTTTTCAAGTCTTTTAAATCTTTTTGTTACACATATTTTGTCAAAAGTGATGGATAAAGAGTCTTCTCTTAAACAATAGTATAGATCACTACATAACTTAAGAAAACAAAAATATAATAGCCAAACTCTTTTAATAAACCTAGACCAATAGACAATTGATTTAAAAAATATTATACCTAAAAATGAATCTTATGAAAATGTGTTACTTCTATCCCAAACTAGGATTGACATCATGAAAATGAAAACAATTTGTGCCATTAGATTAATAAAACTAAAATAAACTTTCAAATTCTTTATTAAACCATTAATTTTGAACTTAACAAAAACAAAGGCACTAAAAGATGGTGTATGCACTGCTTATTTGTTACAAAATTTTAGACAACATTAAAATTTATAAAGTGTGTAAACAAAATAAAAAGTTTACTAGTTTATCATACATATTACATTCTTTTGATTAAGTATAAAATGAGGTTATGGAATGCATCAATTAAATCTTTAAAAAAAAAGAAGGGCATAGACGGGTGGGCCTAGGCCGGGTCGGGCCAAGTTAGGCCGAGCCAAGGATTTCAAATCCTAAGCCCAAATCCTACCCAACCTTAGAGCGGTCTGGGCCGAACTTTAATCCATCGAACCTCGGACTACCCACTTCGAGTCGCAGGCCAAATGAGGATCCCTAATCTCAGCTATAGAGGGGTTTTGTATTCTTGAAAAATGTTCTATTTTGAATAATACAAGGTTTATATATATAGAAGCAATAGTCTAAAACTAAAAGGATATAGGGCTTTCTCACACACACTGCCAAGGTGTCATGGGATCCGAATTTCGGACCACTAATCTACAAGTCAAGACCATTTTCCACTAGGTTAGACTCATTGGCTAAACAATGTCGAACTGTAGTGACTAATTTCTGTCGAATAATATTAATCTGTTCCGGAGAGTACTGACTGTTTATTCATAATATTATAAGGAGTTTGGTTTTGTTCTTTATAAATAGTATGATTAAGTTATACTGTGTTTGGTGTTGTTCCGAATAACATCGAATTAGACAATTTTTTTACAAAAAAATTCTTTGATAATTTACGTGGAAATTCAAATTCAAATTACACAATTTTTTTTTGGTAAGATTCATATGACAAGATTTGTTTTTCAATTGTTTTTGCCAATTTTTTTTTTTTCATATAACCCATTATCATAATTATAGTATCTCATAAAAGTAAGCAAGAAGATAATCAACAACCAGCAGTAGCAACACAGAAAGAGGCTACCAAAAAACAAACCAACAAAGCACCAAAAGTAAAAAAAAAAAAAAAGCAAGAAAAACACAGTTGCATATATTGTTCTAATCATTGAATTGGGATGATAATTTGATTATTGAGTTGGATGCATGGAGAATATGAAATACATAAAGAAAAAAATGCAAGAAAAACTCAGCAACATGTATTGGATACACAGCCGCATGATGATAATTTATTATTTGATTATTGAGTTGGATACACAACCGAATGTATTGTTGTTATAAAAAATATAGTTTTCTTTCTCTATAAAGCCAAATACAAAAGCATTATATTATAAATAACATATAAAAAAATTGGAAAGCTTTTAAGGTATAATGAAATTGAAGAAAACAAAATAATAGGTAAGTAAAAGGAAAATAAATAATGAATAAGAAGGTGAGTTTGGTACGGTGAAGCACGTCAAAGACACTGTCCTAAAGCCTTTGTAGCTCCCTACGTGCAGGTGCTGACGGTCTACAAGACTCCAAGATACGACCCCTTGTACACAAACTCAAGATCCACTATGAGCACATTCATAGACAGATATAGGTATCCAAGTCACAGAACTATTGCCAAAATAATAATATAAAGTAGAGAATATATATATATATATATATAAAGGTAGAAAAGGAGAGAATTAGTTTGTGGTGGTGATTGTGGTATGTGATATTCTGATGGTGTATTGTTGTTGTTTCAAATGTGAAGGAGGAGTGAACTTTTATAGGCATCCAATAACATGTAACCTTCACCAACCAGAAAAGTTCACCAACCACAAAATTAAGACATTCGATATAGAAATAAAACATGAATATTAAATATTTATAACCCCCATAATAAATAAAATAAACAGCCAAAATAATTAAATAAATAAAACGGTTAAAATTTTAAAACTTTTTTAAAATTCCAACAATTGTTCCAATACAGCAAGAAAAAATGTCAAAAAAGAAAAACTCATAACCCCATTTCCACAAAATTTAATAAAAGATGAAATATATAAAGAAAGAGAAGATGAAGACAAAAGAAGAGCGAAGAAGCATATTGGAGATTGAGAGAGAGAGAGAGAGAGATGGATACCTGGAGAGAGTGAAGAGAATAACCTTAGAGAATATAGCAGAGAAAAACCCTAGGGAGAAGAAAATGAAAATAGCGTCGTCGAATTTTTCACGTGAACGTGTGTGTTCTTTTTCCCTATTTGTATAATTAAACGTGTATTATCTAAACCGAGGTGCATGAATTGTATTAGTTAGTTAGGTAAGAAGAGTATTAAAAGCCCAACCTGTTTAAAATAGTCAGGTAATTAAATAATAAGGTGACACCAAGGTCTTAAATATCGATATTATCCCCGATATTATCCTGATAATATCTGATTTTTGGGGGGGCGATATTTTAGCAACTAACCATGGTGTTATCGTCATTATATCGATATTATCCCAATAATATCGGGGAGATAACTTCAACATTTTTATGAATGGTTTGGGCAATATATCGAGATATTATCGATAATATCCCAATACGAAACCCAAAAAATACATGAATTTTTTTGAAAAGCCTCCCCTGTTGCGCATAGAGGGATTCGAACCCCTCCCATTTTACTCCTTCAACACCTTAACCACCATATCACTTATGTTTTTGTGAAGTCAAGAAGATGACTCGTAGAGAAAGAGGCAAGGGGACTTTGTCAAGTCAAGAAAATGACTCGTTATCTATAACTTTGGACTCTGTTGGAGTAGGAAGTAGTAATTATGGTTATACTCATAACCAACCATTTCCCTACCCTTCATATCCCATTCCTGTTGGGATGGAATGAAGCGACTCATGGAAAGAATCCGAGACTCAATCTTCAAATGATTTTGCTTATGGACAACGTCAACCAATCTCGGATCCATATGGGTGGCATGTTAACAATTACATGCAAAACTATCTCGGGGATTTATCATTTGATGATTACTCTTCAAAATATATTTACTCTACACATAGAGATGATGAAGATAGTGAAAATTTTGGATCCATATGGGTGGCATGTTAACAATTACATGGAAAACTATTTTGGGGATTTATCATTTGATGACTACTCTTCAAAATATACTTACTCTACACATAGAGATGATGAAGATAGTGAAAATTTTGAACCTCATAGGAACTTTATGTGGTACTAAGTCACTCATGTATCTTACCATGAAATGTATAAAGTGTAAAATATTGTAGTAATTCATTATATATAAATGATTATGGTGTGTTTAATCTTCTTTCATTAATTACTACATATTTTCTACACTTACAGTGTTTGTCAGCTCGCAATATAATTAACTTAAATCAGTTAAATCCATCATGCAATGCATTTTCTTCCAATTTTTTGTGATAAACTAATAGATAATTGACTAAATAAACATCCTACAAAGCTTCAATAAAAATTTCCAAGTTTTTCTTACAATTTCCTTGGTTTTTATTCAATTTTTACCGATACCGATAATATCCCGATATTTCCTTCGATATTTCCGTGTTTTTGGACTTCTGATATTTCCGATACCACCGATATTTTAGACCTTGGGTGACACCAAACACTTGACATGGACTATTTATTCCTATCTATAGTCTAATACGGTGTACCAAACGAGCAAGTTTTGAACAACCATTCTTTAAGTTACGGTATGTCGTTTTCCTAGGAGTATTTTCTCAAAAAGAGAATACTAGGCGACCGTTTAATTTTGTAGGTGGAAGCGTTAAGGGACGACATGTCGTTTGTTTGATTTTCTTCTTAAATCCGTATATTATCCAGGAGCAAGAGCCAGAGTGCAAGGCTGCAGGCAGACCTACTACACCACCAGCGAATGGCCATGGCTGTTCAAGTGGCAGGCCTCTGGCTGCCCACCTCTTCCACAACCCACACTCACTTGCTTCATTGCAGAAGCAATCTAAAACCACCATCTTCTACAGCTCTCTCTGCTACAGCTTCTCTCTCATCCCCAACTCCCACTATCCAGGCAATAATCACACCTATCCTTTGTAGTTTCCATTTTCATTCAAAATTATGTTTAACCCACAAAAGGGTTATGTTGTTTTGATAGATTTTTGTAATTCTTGTCGCATAATTTGTTCTGGGTATTGCTTACTTTGAATTGAATGGGTTGATATGTGTAAGAAACGTTTCGCAGATTGTTGGTGGTGGGAGAAGTCCCAGTTGGTACGAAAATGGAAATGGAAATCTCGATGGTTTCCAAGGAGAGGATGATGATTGGTGTGATTTGGATACTGAACTTTATCACTGGACCAAGCAACTGCGCCCTGTTCAGGTACCCATAATTCAATTATTCAGAAAAAATTCGCAGAGTTGTAGTTTTTCTAATGCAATATGCTTATATGGTTTCTGCTAAATTGGATAGTGGTACCCTGGTCATATTGCTAAAACGGAAAAGGAACTCAAAAACCAACTCAAGTTGATGGATGTAGTGATAGAGGTTCGAGATGCAAGAATTCCTATGTCAACTAGTCATCCACAGGTCAGAGCTCTTTCATTTCCTCGGTTGATAAATGTTATGCTTATAACCATGAGCTGTTATTGAAAACGATTCACTTTTCACTCCAGGATTAGGAAGTGAAAATGGACGCTATTTGTGTTAACTTTTATCTGGTTTTCTTATGAACAGATGGATTTATGGCTTGGTAATAGGAAAAGAGTTTTGGTGTTGAATAGAGAAGACATGATATCCACGGCAGACCGGAATGCTTGGGCCACTTATTTTGCAAGGGAGGGAACGAAGGTTGTCTTTTCCAATGGCAAACTTGGAATGGTACCCGCCCATATAAGAGATCCTCTTTCAGCTTTTCCTAACTTAAAACGTCATAGCAGAATATGATTACTTTAACGTGGCAAGTACAGGGTGCCATGAAGCTAGGCCGGTTAGCTAGAGCATTAGCAGCAGATGTGAATGTCAAACGCAGAGCCAAAGGACTTCTCCCACGTGCGGTCGGTTCCTTATCCATTCTTTCTGGATTTAGTTTTGAAATTTCAATTTTACAAACTTACAACCATTAGGAACTAGGGTAATGTTCTGTCTTGCTTGGTGTTGCAAACTATAAATGAGGACCATATATTCATATATGATTTTATCTTATAAATGATCTTGATTGAAAATCTCGTGACTTTAGTTGTCCATGTGAGGTATGAGTATTTATTTTAGGAAGTAATCGATTTTTATGGATTTTTTCTGTAGCATGTTGTAGAGGTTTTAGGCGTACTTTGGAAGCCAAACTATGCCCTAGAAGAATAATTCTTATGTTATATAAATGAAGTAAATGGAGAACTATAATGTTAATTTAATCCAAAGAATATAATGCAGCTATCAATTTATGGTTCATTTAAGAGTTATGATGTTTGATAAAAATTCCTTTATACAAACAGGTACGAGCTGGTATAGTTGGATATCCAAATGTTGGGAAATCATCTTTGATTAACCGTTTGCTGAAGCGACGAATGTGTGCAGCAGCTCCAAGACCTGGAGTTACAAGAGAATTGAAGTATAAATTTCTTCTCCCTTTACTTCGATATTCATTTAAGATGTAATTGGGTCTGGGGATAAATGACTTTTGCTGGAAGTTAAAATCCTCTAATTTTCATTAGATTTCGAAATTTGTTAACAGAGAATTGTTGAAATATGTTGTAAATTTGAATTGTATTCGCTTTTCAAGTGCCTTAGAAATATGATAGATTGTGGAAATGTTGAAGTTTGCCATATATTGACACAAACAATACTATGTCTCCATGTTATATGCGACATCAATGTAATTTTTCCTTATATGCATCTTCTTGTGCCTGTGGAAGGTGGGTTCATTTTGGGAAAGATCTTGAATTGCTAGACTCTCCTGGTATTCTCCCAATGCGGATTAGTGATCAGACAGCAGCAATAAAGCTTGCTATTTGTGATGACATTGGAGAGAGATCCTATGGTGTTGCTGATATTGCTGCAGTTCTTGTCCAGATGCTAACGAGGCTTCCATCAGTAGGTATGTCTCACATTTCTTTGTCAACTCAATCTACTATCTGAATGCCTAATGGTACTTGTCAATGTTGTCATTACCTTGGAAATTCCTGTTAAATGATCACACCCTGTACAAGGGGAATGCAGTATTACTCGGTCTACGTTCCATTCCTTGTACCACTTTTGTTAGCATCACAAAAATCTGTTAGTTTATGGGGACTATTGACAACCTCTAATCTCTCTTTCTCTTTCTCTAATCATTCTCAATTTCTCAGGTGTAAAGGCTCTTAACAGCCGCTACAAGATGGATGTGGAAGGTCACTGTGGTAAAACGTATGGATCATCTTGGGGCCAATTGAGTTTCTATTCTGAATCTATGGTTTCATTCGGCTTAAGAATATTTTCCTCTCATGATTCTGACAACCAAGTATATATATAAATGATCCTATATAATACCACCAAAGAGTGCAATCTGGGGCTAAGGAATATTTTTGAAGCATGAAAAGTAGTCCTTTTGAATAGTTCTAATCTCTGCTAATTCTGTAAATTGTAGATTTGTTCAGAAGCTTGCGGTTCACATGTTTAATGGGGATAGTCATCAAGCAGCATTTCGAGTGCTGTCGGATTTTCGGAAAGGGAAGTTTGGTTGGATTGCATTGGAGAGGCCTCCCAGATAGTACTATTGGAACTTGGTGGTAGGCCAGGAGCAGTCAAGCTTTCTGTAAGCCTCTATAAATACCAAAAGAATTCCAATTGCTGACTGATACACAAATTTAGAGTCTTCATGGAGTATCAAAATCTTGGCAAGAGAAGGTGTCAGTGTCCTGAAGGAAATTAATGAAGCTTCACGATGGAGTAATAACGTTGATTGTGAAGACGGAGGGCGTGAAAACTTTTATAGCCAAAGCTGGGAGAGGATCATATGGGCAATGGTGGATTCCTTTATTAAGGTGTAACATAAGTCTTTTTAACACTAGTGGTGCGTTTGGATGAGGGAAATAAACTTGGGATTTTGACAAAACTCAGAATTTCTAAATTGACATGAACCAATTCCCGTGTTTGGATAAAAAAAACAAAGAAATTTAGAAATTCCGCGTGGGAAAAAACATGGAATTTGGAGATCATAAATCCCAACTTTAAATTCTATCTAAAAGTCGTCATTTCTAAAATCCCAAGAGATTGAGTTTTTTAAAAAAGACAACTTTACAAATAAAGGTTAAATTCCGTGTTTTAAATCCGTCACCCAAACAAGAAACTTTACAAATTCTAGAACATTAATTTCCATCATTTTAAATTCCGTCATTTATGAAATCCCTTGTACTTTTAAATTTCCTCATCCAAACGGGATTCACAGAATATCAAGTTTTTGTAAATTAGATCTCAACAAGAGTTCTCTGTGTATATCATCTCTGGTGTCCGTCCAAAGAGCCCTCACTTTGACGACGTCGACATCCATGTGTATTTTCCTGGAAAACAGTTCCATACGTGCATTGATTCCTGTGAAAATCGAGTTTTTAAAAGTGAGAATTTTGTCAAAGATTTTGATTTCTATGCTGATATTCTAGTTTAGGTTGTATGTTTCTTTGCCTTTTCATTCCTGATCTATTTTTCCGCATTGGGTACTTTTTGCCTTTTTATAATCAGGTCATTGGAATACCTTAAAGCGCAACGTTGTAAACTAAGAATGAGTAGTGGTTTGCAAAGTTACCAAAATGTGGAAAACTCTGCGCACACACACACACTCTTACCCAATACTCCTTTTGCAGATTCCTTTAGACCCAAAAGGAGGTAAATATCTGAGCCTACATTTTCATTGCCAAGTGCAAGTTCCCATATTCAAGCTGCAAAGTAAAACATTGATTAACAAAAATAAACTAGTGAGCTAGCATGCCTCTGCATTTTGTAATCCTAATCCAATACATGATAGATGCTCTAAAATTTTAGGTGACAGAACTTTCACTGAACAGTACAATAATGTAGTAATCCTAAGCATTTTCCTTTTCCCCTTAGGCCCTGTTTTGTTCACGGAACGGATTTGATAGGAAATCACTTCTTGTGTCATTTCCCAATGGATGGGGAATGGAGATTCATTTCCCATGTTTGGTAATCCTGGGAAAGTAACCAGGAAATACCATTTTATTTCCTTTAACAGTGCGTTTGGATGAGGAAATTTAAAAGTACAAAGGATTTCATAAATGAGGGAATTTAAAATGACGGAAATTAATGTTCTAGAATTTGTAAAGTTTCTTGTTTGGGTGACGGATTTAAGGGATTTAACTTTTATTTGTAAAGTTATCTTTTTTAAAAACTCAATCTCTCTTGGGATTTTAGAAATGACGACTTTTAGATAGAATTTAAAGTTGGGATTTATGATCTTCAAATTCCATGTTTTTTCCCACGCGGAATTTCTAAATTTCTATGTTTTTTTTATCCAAACACGGGAATTGGTTCATGTCAATTTAGAAATTCTGAGTTTTGTCAAAATCCCAAGTTTATTTCCCCCATCCAAACGCACCGTTAACATATTTGGTTTGTGTAGGAATGTAAAACAAAGTTTATTTAATTTTCCAATTATACCCATATGAAATAAAATTAAAAAAGAGTGCATTTAATGCTATATTGTAATGGGAACAATATGGTCATGAAAAATGTGTATTTAATGTTGGCTCATTTTCTCAAACTTTCCCATGATGAGGAAAATAAGACCCAGGGGGTAGAAGGGCTTCACTTTCCCCCCTACTTTCCCATGAGCAAGGCAATGATTTCCCATGCCTAGACTTACCAAACATGGGAAAACAATTGATTTCTCATCCCCAAGCCTCCTTTCCCATGAACCAAACGAGGCCTTAGAAGCATCAACCTTAATGTCTATGGCGTCAAGACCCCTAGGAAGATCATGATTGGAGTAGATAATCCACTTCCAATTCCTGTGCTTTAGGCGAAAGGTCGTCATTTAGAGAAATCAACTCCCGCAAAGCCTCATTTATTAGGTGTTCGAGTAGAGGTAGGGCAAACCAAGACAAGTAGGTCTCATCAGTATTAGAAATGTGATACCATAATGTGATCGTCTAAGCACTTTCTTTGTGAAAATAAAACACACACTGTTCAACCCAGAGAGGAAAATGTGTTGAGCTAGGCACACAGAACAGTGTTCTAGCCTTTCCTCTTTTTCTGAATTGGGTCGTTGATCGTGTGGGCTGGCTTTTAAGACTTAGTCAAGAAGCCCTAATCCAATTTAGTATGTTGTTGGCGTAGGTGTGCCACTACTGGAGCTTGGCTTAGCCCAATAGAAAGAGATTTGTTAGTTGTGAAGATGGATTCTTGAGTGTTTGCGCTTTAATCTGACTTCTAATCAAGCAATTGTGACATGAATGGGGAATTGGCTCAGATTAGTTCTTTTCTATGCCTTGTAATAGTTAAGGACTTTATAATTCTATCTTGTGCGCTGGTCTGATATTAAACTATGAAATCAAACCTAATAGGGCTGGAATTACCCCTGTCGGACTAGTCAGTTCTCAAATTGGGCTGAAGTCACTTGTCATTTGTTGGCTTGTTCTAAGTCCTATGGAGGTAGGAATGTGTATACAGAAAGATAAATGAAGATAGGAAATGAAAATTAAGTGGGAAACTTGACTTTGGGTTGAAGATTTCTATATTCAACTTATTGTTGGTGTTTATCTCACGATAGATGACTATTTTAGACTGAAGAATTCTCTATTCTGCCTATTGCAATCATGATTTTAAATAACTTAAACAACAAGAAACAAACTTAAACTGAAGATTTCTCCATTCAGTTTATTGCAGTTATAACTTAAAAGTAAATGATAGTATTTGAAAAGGTAATTTAAAGTACTGGTGCAGATAAATAAGCAAGGCCTAGCAACTAGGAATCGATACCAAGTGTTGGCAGAGCAATAAACTAAAAATATAATAATCAGGAGTTGTCAATTGGTTATCTTGGTGCAAGAGAGTTGTTTTAAGTTCATAAGAGATCAAGTGCTAATCGAATTTAAAGTGATTTTCTGAGAAGAAAAGTTGATTTTAGTTTTTTCTTTGTTGATGACTTCTCCATCGATTTATAGATTTCTGATCCTTTGAGTTGGCATGTAACTAGCATGATTTTGGAAAAGAACTACTGGTTATTGAGCTATAAGCAGAGATATGGACTTGAGCGCTTTGATTTGGGTTGCTTGGGATTTGCTCAATGGTTGTTGCTGGCCAAGACTAGTGGTTCAAATCGCATTTAATGCGGTTGCTTCGTCACCTGAGGTTCTCCAGTTGTCAAAGTCATGACATTGTTCTTCGTTTGAAGCTTCGCATCTTTATCCAAGCAATAATATGTTTAAAAGATTAATCAACGTCTCTTTCGAAAGTCAACTAAAAAAGTTCAATCAAGCCGATAATGATATTGGACTTGAGCTTCTGTACAATTCTAACTAAGGCCCAATCTCTTCAGATATTAATAAAAAGAATCCCTAAATGGGCTTTTTCCATTTTTGGTCCAAACACACACAAACATTAGTATTTAATCTAAATTGTTTACAAGCATCTTTAACGTGAAATTCTATCATGAGGGTGTTAGATATATGCCCTAGAAGCCAATATAAAATGGAATACTCTATGGATATAATATAATTAATATAAACAAAAGAGGCGTGAATGTTACTTTAAGATACATAATGTATATAAAGTAACAAGTCCGTGGATAAAGATATAAATGGAAAGCAATCTAAAGAAGTTAGATTCACGAGACCTTTCCGTCATAGAAATATCGTATCCTAAAAGTTTCTGGTCATAGGATCATCAATTAGACAATAGTGAACTGTGAAGATTGTTACACACTATGTCTGCTCATGCTGGATTGGTTGGATAGGCAATACTTGTCCAATGGAGCTCAAATTTGGATATGTTGTAGTTAACATCCATTGGAACAAGTCTCATGAAGATCATGACCTCATCCGAGCACCAGAGCATGTTGATCCCAGGCCAAGAAGTTGACCTACGAAAATGAACAAAAACAAAGTTTATAACCAATAATGCACTTTTAGCTCATTTTCATTCCAACCAAGGTAAAATCTAACAAAACACAAAAAGGAAGTAAAAAGCTATAAAATGTCAAGAACTAACTCAAAATAGTGGGAGAATAACATGAAAAATCATGTGTAAAAATGAACCGAACAAGTTCATTGAACGCAATCAACTTAAGAATTCTTGTATGGAAGTCTTACTCACAAGTGTTAAACAAAGAATTCTAAGTTATGATAATGCAAATTAGTCCTTAGACCTGAGACATCACGGTTGTCTTGTGTATGGGTTGTTTGTCTTTAAGAGCACCATACAATCGTATCAAAAGGTTGTGACTTAAAGGTGTTCCTCGGGATACTCAGTATGTGAACAGAGGCATGTGAATGTACAACAAAGAATCTCTACTCTTAGTAGGAAGAGAGAATACTCTAAAGATATGATTCATTGAATCTTTGGCCCAAGGATAACAAATATTGAAAGGTCCAATTAAACGATAATGAGAGTTGAAATTGTTATCTCAAACATAAAGCTTAGAACCTTATAGTTTGATATACAATCTTGTGGGACATCCTAGATCACCTAAAGGATGTCAAATCTATTAAAGAAGTTAATAGATGCTTGTTGAGAAACAAGTGAAATGAGTGATAAGAAATCATAGGTGAATTATCAAAGTGACAATTCAACCCCTTTTATCAACTCACCACATTTTAGAGCTCCAAGAAGTTGATCAATGGTGTGATACACCAATCATGTAGCAACGGTGAAAGTTAAAAACTAATTTTCCTGATCATAATAAAATCATGAAGTATGAAATTCAATCAAGTAGCCGGATTATTCATAAAAGATGAATAACATCCAAGATAAATAATATCTTGAAGAAGCATTTTAGAAATGGCTATATTTCAAAAGGAAAAGTGGGAACCCATTCAAAGTCAAAAGGAGAATCGCCCTCACCTAATGAGAACATCTTCAAAAGGAAATCTAAAGGAAATGAAAGGTTCATATGCTTATCAATAAGTATGGGTTCATATATTATATGACCAAGGTACTACAAAACAAGTTGTACTTAATACTAGTGTATATTATCTTGCTCTCTCTTGGCCGGCCACCTAGAGGAAGGAAATACTAGCACTCATTTTCTCCTCTTAGTTCCTTATTTTCTTATTCTCATTCTACATTGGTGAAGACTCTTTGGGGAGGCATAACCTCATTGTGCCTATTTTGAGAACAAAGTGGAGAATCAACACCTAAGGAACCATGCCTTATACTTGAATACCATTCTTAAATTCAAGATCTGCTCCAATAGTAAGTTTGCTTTCTACCTTCTCTTTAATATGTGATATTAGTGTCAATGGTGCATACTTTCATAAACCTATAAAGATTTGGACTTAAGATGAGACTAGCATGAATCTTTAGCTATTTCCTTGCTTCCGCTTCATTATGTTTGTATATTAAATATGCATGAGCTAAATGATTAGTTTTCTCATAGCTTCATGGGATTTTAGAAAATCCCATGAAGCTATTTTCCCTTGAGGGTGCCATTTGTGGACCATATCTTTAACATTTGATTTACCTAAGACTTTTACCTTATTCGAAAAATAGATTCAACAATTGGATGCAAATCCTCTGCTTGAATTTTCCATACGTAGAAAAATCATCTAAAGGCTAAAAATGTGACACCACATAATTTTTGGGGGCATGGTCTTCCTCTGGCGTGCTCTTCTCCTTTTTATTTTGATATTTTTGGGAATGCGTTTCCTCGTGGTTTTTCTTTGTAATTTTCCTTTTTCTCATAAATAAAAAATGACACCACATAATTTTGCTTTGGCGGGTCCTTTGTCATCCTATCTTCTGACTTCGCTTCACATTCTCTTTTTTGCTTAAGTTTACTTTTTTCCAAACCCAACATAACACATAGAAGACTCTACTTTTCGGGGAAGACATTGGAGAAGTGAAGCCATGAATGTAGAAGAAGAGGTCGAGCGTCTGAAAGAAGAAATCCAAAGGCTTGGCAAGGTCCAAGACGATGGTTCTTACAAGGTAACCTCACAGAAAAACACACTCTTGCCGACTCTGTTTTGTTTATTTTGGCGATAATGTTAGACAATTTCCCTTCTTTTTTTCTCAGTGTTGATATGCAATGCTGCTTTAGAATTCGACCCAGATTGAGAAATACAAGTATAAAGGCTTTGGTAATTACTGTGATTTTTATCTGGATCTAAAATTGGTTGGACCATGTCAATTGGGGATCTGTAATCTTTTAGTTGACTTTTGGATGTTTTTATAGAGGGAGATCTGCCCATTTGTGTTATTGGAGTCTGTTCAGTTTTTTTTTTCTTTCCAAGTTTCTGATTTTGTGGTGAATCTAGGCTAAGTAACTGATCATAACAACAAATTTCATCAATCAAATCAATACTTCTGCTCATTCAGTTTTGCTTGACCTGATTGATTGGTTTATTGGTTTTTTTCTTTATCAGATTTCCTTGTTAATACACATTGTTCATTAAGAGGTTCTTTGAGATTCATCTCAAAATGTTTGGTTCTTGTGTTGGAGTTTGTTATATACTTGATCCTTGTCGGTTGAAGATGGCAGTTTTTTTTTTTCCCTTTCCAATTGCTTTCAATTCAGGACCATTTCCATGTAGGAGTGGTTTTACAATTTTTATTTTAATTGTTCTTGGGCTTCCTTTGTGAGGTAAAATCCTAGAAACAAAGTCATTCTCACTGAAGTGATTATTTTCTCTGGGACGGTATGTGTAACCCTGGTTACTTTGAAGACGAGGGTTCAATACAAAGAGGTTCACAATATGATAATTCTATTATAAGTTGAAAAACTGTGACAGATAAGCATATATTAGGTTTTAGACTTTGTGATTAGTAGAACATCTAATTAATTGTATTATAATATTCTCTTTGTTTCTGCATCCCCCGTGTTGTTCAAATTTCTTCCACTTTATCACATGAGAGGGACAAAGAGAGAAAAAGCAACGGACCTGGTCCGGATTAAAGCAAGCAATTATAGCGTATGCATGTTTATCATACTTAAAGCTACCTCTGCACTACCAAAGGAGTTTGATATGTTGTTAAATCCTTGCGTTACGATGCTGCTCATTCAGAAGTTAATATATCTTTAGGCTTATCTGGTCTGCTGATGTGGCTTACATCTAGGAAACTTGGATAAGGGACCAGTGGAAGAAGCTGTGCATTAGAATTCTAATTTGGTTCCTCCTACATTTGAGAAACTAGTAGTTATTATTTCAGTCAAGGACCCAAAAGCTTCACTTTGCCCTGCCAAGTGGTGATGTTTTTGTTCAATAGCCTCATAAAGTATAAAAGACTTGATGGCATGGTGGGCTACAAAAGTTCAATCAGGCATGTATATGGTTGTGTGTGCGCGCACATACACACACGCACACGCACACACGCATGCGACACCAACACTCAATGTGAAACATACATCAAGGAAGTTGGAGAATATGGTTTTCAGTTTTTGATAACATAGAATGTATTCTTTGGTAGTTTTCTTAAGGTTAGTCTAAGAGATTTCTGCTGTGACATTATTTTGGTCTGGTTTTCTCCATGCCTCTGTCCTCAATTTTTAACTATTCTGAACAAACCTTTTCCTCTTGCAATACCAAACGCTTCAATATTTCTATATCTCATATTTGCTTTCCAACTGCTTATGAAACTTGGTTTATTTTCTGTAGGTCACATTCGGGGTGCTATTTAATGATGATAGATGTGCAAACATATTCGAAGCATTGGTTGGGACGCTAAGAGCAGCAAAGAAGCGGAAATTTCTCACATATGAAGGCGAGCTACTGCTGCAAGGAGTCCATGACAATGTGGAAATCATACTTAAACCAACCCCAGCAGCAGCAGCAGCAGCACCCAAGGCAACTGATGCAGTTGGGACGAGTTAGAAGTATTCTGCACTTGTTTTGATTTCATGTCCTCTTATATATCGTGTTGTATTGTGTGTGAAAGAGACTGTGAAATCCTTTTGAGACCCATGCTTGGCAGTTGCTCTCATTTACCTTTATTTAATATCAAAGTGTTGGTTTCAATAAGTTGAGATAAACTGAAACCAGAGTAAAAGGGCACCAGCAGGTAAACAAGCTTATGTAATTACTCTCCATCTCTGACTTTTTAAGAGATTTGAATGCAACAAGATTTCTGCGTGACATTTTTTCAATTTCTTAGTGTGTGATTGATAATGCAACCAGACAAGAGACTTTGGACATCTCTTGAATTATCTTTCCTTTTCTAGAGAAGTAGGAACTTGTTTGTCTAGCTTATGTAACCAACTTGATTGTACCAATTGACTGCTCATACAAAATGTTTTAGAGCTCACATCACCATCAATTTTTGAATTGAATTTATTTTGCACGCCAAGAACAAAAACCTATATTCACAACAAATAACCATGAGCAAGATAATCCAAATCTCATGTGCTCACTCATTTGTGCTCGGATGAAGGAAATTGAAGCACACATGACTAGGGTTGGATATTTGATCCGAAAAATCCGTGTACCGATTAATAATTACTGATTTCTATCTTGGCTCTTCCTGGTCCTCCAGTCTTGTGATTTCTATCTTGGCTCAGTTCTTGTTTCTTGTATTCTGGGGTGCTTCCTCCCCCAGTTTTGCTTTGGAATAAATAAATATTTTGACCCAAAAAAAATTAAAAACCCCAACTTTGAAGATATGTATGTTGATTACGTTAATTTCAATCTCTTTTTTTCTTTCAAAAATTATGCTAGGCCAAAATTCTAGTGTTCTATTGGCAATCACTTTCACTTTCACTTTCTGCCTCTTACATTCTCTGCCTCCCATTTGGTTCAATTTTATTGATTATGTTTATTGTTGCTTGATCCTTTGGGCCTTTGGCCACCCTTCAGTTTTTCTTATCTGAACTGAATCAAGTTAGAAAGACGAAATTGAAAAGAAGAAAAAATAAGTGAAATGGGAAGAAAAAGTAAAGGATACAAAAGTAAATTCATTGAAAAAATCTCAAGTTAACAAAAGCAATTCTTTATCTTGAAATTAAGTCGCCAAAAAACTGTACCCAAAGATTTTAGACAAGGATGTGACAATGGTAGCAAGGCTCTGTTGTCAAACGTTTTCCACTTGAAGAATACATGATAAATCAGGGAACAATGATCTAACACACTATGAAACATATTGGTAAGCCAATGGAACAAAATTTACCTCTTTAGCTCGTGATTGGCAATATAGGAACCCTGAATCTTCCTACTTTAGTGTACAATATTTGACAAAAGCAAAAGCCGATGACTAAGTGACATCCCGGGAGTCATCTCTTGCAAACGTGTCTTGAGACCAACTAATGGTCATGATGGTCCCGTAAGAATGAATGCATGTAAGAGGCTCTGTGCTGCCTGGGTTTCATCAGGTGTCCCAGATATAACAATAATCCTGTCGGTTGTTCCAGGACGGGGCTCATGCACTATGACCTTGGCACCAGAAATCTGATTTAAGGAGGGAAAAAGAGGGAAAGAGGATAAGTTTAAATTGATATACAGACAACCAGACTACTAAGTTTGAAACAGTAGCAACTGTGATATCCTCAAAGTTCATGGGGTTCACTACAAAGATACTCCGCTCAAAGCAACCCCGCTCTTTAACAGTCCCTTGAGAGATAACGTCATAACAACACAACTGCCCCCTCCCCCAAGAAAAGAGAGAAAACAAGGGAGACGGAGACAAAGACATAGACAGTGACAGAGAACAAAAACAATTCTTCTCTAGAGAAGTAACTGTGTTCTTCCCAGCCACTTCAATTCGCTCCTCTGCAATTTTCTACAATTCTTTCTTGGGAATAATATACTGATCATAAATTTTAGTAGACATGGGCAGCCCTCAAAGTTAATAAAGCCAAAGCGGTAATTTTCAGGTTTGAAATCCAACAAGCAAGAAACTTGATAAAGGGGGCGCTAGCTAGTGCACCATACACAAAGACCACAGTTTGATTAAAACAATATCAAAGAAGCAATACTTTGGAAAAATTATGAAATATACCTGTCTTAGACGAGCCAAATTGGAACCATTCTCCCCGTACACAGAGCCAATAACATTTTCAGGAACTATGATCTCTACAGTTGTATTTGTCACAATAGCAGATTTGTTTCCGCTGCCGATGCCAAAGGATGGAGTTAAAAATAAATAAAAAATGACATGCATCCTACTAGGAACTTTGAATACATAATTCCATACCTTTTCAGTTTCAATTTGAAACCAAATAAAGTGGGTATTTTAGTTAAGTGACAAATTGAGGCCTGAGAAAGAATAATATGACAGAGTTACCTAGTCTATGGTTACCTTTTACGTGACAGTCAAGGGTATTTCAATTAATTATGAAACAGAGGCTGTGCATGACAATCATCAGTTGCTATCTACTCATGCTTTAACATGGCATCCATTTTATTTTCAGACCCAATTATAGCTTAGCAGCTTAGCCAGATCTCATAATTTTCTAACCTGCCAAGTTCTGTGCCACTTTTTAGAGAAGTCAAACCCCTGCCAGTATCGGTGATGCCCCTTGAAGCTACCATCTGTAATCCGATCAATATATCAACAACAACAACAACAACAAAAACAAGAGAGAGAGAGAGAGAGAGAGATACCTGTGATGCCCATGGCCTTGGTGAGGAGGAAGGATGATCTAAACTATGAGAAAGTCCAAGATGATCCATACTTTGAGTTAGAGTTGTATGTCGACTGAGACCATGATTAACACCAACTGATGATGATGGCTGAAATCCAATAGGAGTAGGATCCCTTAGTCTTCCATAAGGACTGGTATCGGTTAGCATGGATGAACTGCTCCTTCTTCCGGAATTATTTACTGTGCTGGAGAAAAGGTTATCTCGTAATCTACCAGTAATATTGTACAAAGCATCTTGCACACTTGAAAAATCTCCTGAAATCTGTGGAAAAAATTATAACTAAATATAAGAGAAGTTTGCAAGTTCATATCAACTTTAGGTCGCCAAATATACCCAATTTCACTAAATGGGACTAAATGAAATATAATTACAATGCTTTCCTTAAAGAATGTGATAAAACCACACCTGTACAACTTCATCATTCTCTAAGGCGCACTTTGGGACCTGGTCACCGCCTATTATTCGTATACCAGTACCAGTTACCTTCCGAATCTCCGAAACTATTACACCCCCTTTTCCCAGCAAACAACCAACTTGGTTTGATGGGACTACAAGCCGTGCAGTAAGAGATGACCCTTTATTTGAGCTTGAGTCTCGCCCTTTTTCAATGCCTGCTTCTACGGACCTTGTGAAAACAAGAACAATACCCTTTTGTGCTGCCGAGTACCGTGATTCAGGACTCTATAGAAGATGAAGCCAACATTAAAAAACTTATTACTAACAAATATGCCTGTATTGATGGATATAGAAAAGAGGGGAAAAAAATAGAATGACAAACCTCCGATGCAGCAACAGTAATTAATCGTTCATCACACTCAGCCACAGATGGTCCAATACTTATTGCAGCACCTGTCTCATTCTGAAGGGCCCTGACAATGGCACCCCCCTTTCCAATTACACCCCCAACCCTATCATTGGCACAAAGAATCTTGAAAGTAACTTCCTGTTGTACCATTTTTGTTTCAAGTGTGGGGATCCTTTCAGCCTCAATTGATGATGGACGAACTCCTGAAGCATAACTCATGGAGCTGCTTGGCAAAGAGGTAAGCATTGAGTTCCTCTGTGAAAGATGATCTAAACGGAGATCAGGTAAAGTCTCATAAGGAACTGCCTCCAGAGGCCTGCTTCCAGTCATCCGTGTCTTGTCAACTGGTGGACAATCTTGAAGACGGCCAGAGACAGCAACAAGTGCTTTCTTTACAGACAAAATATCCCCTTCTATCTGCCACACGATTGAATCATATTCAAGGGGAGAAATAAATAAATATTCTTTTTTTATTACTGACATACAATAAATGGAGGCAAACAGTGAATCAATAGGCCTTAATATAAACACAATACAAGGAATACTTTGTGTTCTATTTTCTGTTACAACAAACCTGAAAGGCAAGTGAAGTCAGAAGTTGAAGCTACAAAAGAATAAATTTTTAAGAACCTCCTGAAAGGGAAAAGGATGACCTTGTATCAGCTACCAAGTTCTTTCCTCCTATTTGGTACCTAATTCGATCCAGTGACTTCTACAATATTCAAAAATTGATATTAATCAACAGGCTTGCGAGGCGGTGAAAATAAAGTATGCAAATGGCAACCCGACTAGCCCAACTTAGCAGAGTGCTTGGAAGGAGATCAAAGTAATTGTCGAAAACTGCCAACTTAGTATCAATATCTCACAAATATTGTTAACCATTTCAAGTTCAGAGTTCACTAGGGCTTTTAAAGCCCTACTTTATAATTCATTTTTTGATAAGCAGTCACCAAAATCCTAATTATACGAAGACATGGTACAACCTTAAAATCTTCTAAAATTAATCACAAACATATTCTAAAGATCCACTTCCTCATAACTAATCCTGCGCTTGTTATCTGCATTCTATATGATAAAATCAGAGAACAAAGGTGACTATTATCTCATAGGTTCCCAAATAAAGATTATAAATCTAAATATCCACGATCCTGAAATTCCAGTGGCACCACTTAATCCAACTGATTTTATATTTATGTGCCAAATTGCGAAAATTAATGTTTGCCCTCATGAAGATCTCCAAATGAATTTCTGACCAAAATTTTATTTCCAGAAATTACATTACCTAAACCAAGGTCTTGCTATCACTTTGGGTGAAAACAAGTATTCCACCAAATGGTCTTTCCCTTATCTCAAATAATGTTTAATAAAATTATAATATATATCTCAATAAGATGTGGATGTTCAGCTCAGCCGTTATTCAATAACAGTAATGGTTTCTTTTCAAAAGCACAAAGAATTCTACTTCATGTATTCTTTGTATCAAGTACTAATTCAAAACAATCACCGGATGCATGCTGCCAGTCTGCCTGATTACAGTTCCTCACTAGCTCTTGAATCATCACCAGTGACATCAACTACTGTTCCTTATACAATCTAATCAAATTTAACTTGAGAATAACCTAAAAGTCCCAAACAACTTAAGTTAGAAAATAATCAAAATTCTCATTTTTTACTGAAAACTCGAGAATAACCTGAAAATCCCAAACAACTTAAGTAACTCAGCATAGCTACAGCCTACCACCCATACCATGCTACTCAAAAGTTTTGGTCCAATTGGCAAAGAAATCAAGCAAATTTAATCTACAATCATGCTAAACTACTAATTATACACAACAAGCTTAAGTTTCCACATAACTCTAAATAGAATTTACTAAATTAGTTTAATAGTCTAAACTTATCCCATCAATTTGGGATTTTGACATAAGCTAAATGGGGCAAATTCACTACATCATACAGAAATACCAACAAGTGAATGCAAATGCAGGCCTTTGAAGTAAAACCCAAACTCAAACCAACTCAATACACACACAACTTATCTAATTTACATCCAAAACGTAATTGAAATCTCGAAAAAGCAAAGACACAACCTCACCTCGACCATCTCGTCCGTAGAAAATGCACAAGCCGGCAATTTCTCATTCAAAACCCTAATTTTACAACCAGTCTCTTTCCTAATCTTCTCCACCACCTTACCGCCCTTCCCAATCACCGACCCGACCTGCGCTGCCTCAGCCAGAAACCGGCACGAAACCACCCCAACATCCGCCGGAATCGCCCCGGTCTCCGCCGCCACCTCAAGAATCCTCTCGAACACTCTCAGAAGCGCCTCCTGCGCCTTCGAAACCTCAATCTCCTCTTCCCCACCACCACCACCAACATTCACATTTTCGAGGCCTGGAGTTCTGAGCCAAATCTTGGAACGGATTGCGCTCGGAGCGACGACCACCACTACCCGGTCCGGCGACTCGACTTGGGCTTCTTCGATTCGGATCTTGGCCCCAGTGGCCTGCTGTAGCTGCTTGATCACGCTACCTGACTTTCCGATGACGCCACCGATGCGAGACGCGTGGCAGAGCATACGGAAGGCCACGTGGCCGGGAGGGACGCTGAGGGGAGGCGGAGGGGGCCTGGATCGCTTGGAGGAGCCGTTTTCGAAGTTGGGGTCGGAAGACATTGTCGATAGGGAACGCTTCGCTGGTAAAGAGAGAAAGGTGCTTCCCATAATACTCTCTCTCACTACAAATATTTTCGCTCTCGCACTCTCTCTCTATATATACACATATAGATAGATAGATTCAGCCTGGTACGATTTTTCTCTCTCTAGAATCTGAAGACGTATTTATGATTTTCTCTCAATTGGCTCCCCAAGAAGCCGGAGACTTTGGTGTTGAGTTGCAGAAACTGGGGGGTTTTGGGGCTAAAGCTGCGATAGGGTGCGCACTGCGCATTGGGGAATTCCGTGTGTGCGTTTGCACGTGACTCGCAATGCTAAAGGGGTGGCGACGGGTCGTGTCGTGTCGCGTCGTGTGGAAGGTGTTAAACAAGAACTCCAATACAATGTGGTTCGTTTATATATAAATTTTCGTTTTTTTTTATTTTTTTCAAAGAAAATTTGAAAAAACTTACAATTAGTTTCTTAGTTTAAAAAGGAAACTAATTGGGGTTTGGACCTAAATAAGTCTATTTAGAGATTGTTTTAATCAAAATGGGCCTTAGGCCGTTCGAAATTTAGTATTTAGGCTCAATATCAGCGGGCCCATAGATTTAGGTTCAATATCAGGCCGACTATCCAAAATAAAGCCGTTGTTCATATTTTAAAATCGTGTTTATTCGGTTAAAGACACAATTATCTAAAATAAAACTCGAAGTTGACTTCGACAGGTGGAATGTCAAACAGGGCCACCATCGACAGTACAAAAATCAATGTACTGACTGATTCACCAGTTTAAACTGCAAAAAAAGCCCAACCAGTTCTGCACCAAGCGTGCAATTTCAAGAGTCAAGAAGCCTATGAGTAGAAGCAAGACCCAAAGCTCAAAGGATCGACAATCAACATAACTTTCTCTCATAAACTGACTTCACACATTAATACTTGATCTCGTTGAACGCAATCAACTCTCTTTTTTCCAAGATATCTAGTTGACTACTCATGAGTTATCTTTTCAGATTATTGATATACCAACACTTGGTATATATATATATACACACACACGTACCTGCCATCCATGTAATAGTTTATTTTTGGTTTTTTGATATACCAACACTTGGTATCGATTCCTAATTACTAGGGTAGCAGATATAGCTAATTGGATTTGAAAGTTTCATACCTGGAGGTTGCTTTTTAACCAAATTGGAAGAGAAAAAAAACCACAATGCAGAACTAATAAATTTACGAAGACATAAATTTCCATATATATGTATGTGTATGCATTTCCTTATATTAATACTTGATCTCGTTGAACGCAATCAACTCTCTTTTTTCCAAGATATCTAGTTGACTACTCATGAGTTATCTTTTCAGATTATTGATATACCAACACTTGGTATATATATATATACACACACACGTACCTGCCATCCATGTAATAGTTTATTTTTGGTTTTCCAAAGAAATTTTGTATGGATTTTTATCTCAGTTGAGTTTAAAGATCCATACCAAGATATTATATGAGTTCAATTACCTGGGATAGAGGGTAACTACCTAGACTAGAGGTAATTTATGGATTTAATTACTTGGACCATAGGTAATTTATGGGTTTAATTACTTGCATACAAGGTGTATGCATAGGTACCTTACCTATTGTTAAGGTATGAAATTTTCATGAACTCTTATTACAAATTTTGATGTCGGTATACCTTGGAAAATTTTCAAAATTCAATAAATAGATTTGCAATTAAATTCAAATCAAATATGATAATTAATGCCCTACAAATCAATAACTTACCAGTTTTACAAATTCATAATTTACTTTATTTATGTTTTAGGTGCATAATTGGAACAAAAAATAAAAAAAATAAAAAAAGTAAATATCAATAAATTAAAAAAGGCATGTAATCTTATGTGGCGCAAAAGTCAAAGGACTTGGATTAACAACAACTTATGCGTGGATTGCACCCAATATCTCTCCTCATAATTAGACTTACGCCAAATTTTCTAAAAAATTATCAACTAGTAATTTCTTGAGATACAAGTTGCCATAATATATAGTTAGTGGTGCTATTCCTAAAGTCAATATCTGAGGGCCCTTGTGATCTCATTTATTTGACCTTTCAAGGGATACCAATAAACTTCAAACACTTATCCTTCTCAAATGCAAGTCATCTGCAATATAAATGAAACCAAGTAAACTCCTGCTATTGCTCATTAAATCTGCAACTAATTACTTGGCTCCATCAAAGCAAAAGGTTTATACACCTTGACTGCAGGGCAAGCAGCCATGTAAGAATGATGATTTCGATCCTATTTCCTTGTTGAAATGCTGCAAATACAGTTTAGTTTGATTTTCCTTTTCTTTTAGCATAGTGTCTTAAACAGAAAGTGGGGAGATAAAGCCCTAAAGAATTCTTGCTAGCTGTAACATCCCGGTCCGAAAAAGAATTAAAATAATTAAATTAAGAGAAAAATAAATTTGGATGAGAAAATAAGTTGAAATAAACAATAAAAATAAAATGAAAATGATTTGAATTAATTAAGGGTTTTGGAAAATAATAAATATTTACTTAATTTTTAAAAGGGGCAAAAAAATGTCATTTTAAGTTCGGGAAGGAATTTGGGACTTCCGGTTATACCATTGCGTAGAGCACATCGAAACGAGTCCGTAGACACGTAACGGACTCGAATCTGAGTTATAATGAGAGAGATACGAGAAAAATTGAAGGAGGGGAAAAATTGTAATTTTGGAAAACTGGTTTTAAAACCAGAATTTCTCTCTCTCTCCAAGCCACCGCCGTCACGTCCGTTTGCCATGTGGGGCGGTACCGGTCCCAAAAGGACCGCCGTGAGTTCCTCTTCCAGCCCTGCCCCATCTCAGCCATCACCACCGTTGGCAGTCGCCGGAAATTGCAGAAAAACGGCCGGAAATTTCAGAAACTTTGGGTTGCTCGTTCTCCCTCAATTCTCCACCAAATCTGACCAGTAAGGTATGGATTTTCGACTATTTTTCATGATCTAGCTGCTGGTTGGATAGGATTCCAGAAATTTTGAGAGTTTGTAGCTCGATTTTGGAATTAGGTTTCAGCCGGTTTTCAATTTGAAATTCCGGCCACTTCCGTCGAGAATTTGGGGTATGTTCAAGAACAAAAGTGGCTCCAAATTAGGGGTTTTACCTAGGGTAGAAGTTTGGAGCCGTGATTTTTTCAATTTGAAATACCGGCCACTTCCGTCGAGAATTTTGGGTATGTCCAAGACCAAAAGTGGCTCCAAATTAGGGGTTTTACTTAGGGTAGGAGTTTGGAGCCGTGATTTTGAGATTTTCCGGCGATGCAATATCGCTTTGGACACCCACGCGCTGCCAGCTCGTGGGGCAGTGCGTAGGCACTGTATTAGAGGGGAATTTTGTCCCAATGCGATCCCCTGGTTGTCATGAGCGCATAGGATTTTACGGATCTCAATTCGGATAACGTTTGAACCCCGAACGGATTTTACATATTGTGTGATTTTCGGGTTCGATATGTTAGAACCGTTGGATCGCTTCCCAT